GACCGGAGAAGAAGTCTCTTATATCCGGGTTTCTCTTATATCCGGGTTTGGTCTATTTTGTTTACGTAAGTATGGCTCTAATTGTATATATATATATATATATATATATATATATATATATATATATATATATATATATATGTATGTATGTATGTTTGTATTTGTGAGATGCATTACACCTGCATGCGGATGCTATCACGGGAACTAGTATAGGCACTTTCAAAGCATAGGTTAGCCTCTCATAAGGTCACAGGTGTGCAATCCCCAGTGCGTTCGAGCCCATTGCTGTGTGATAATCGAGTGAACTACCATATGTTTCCCTAGAATAAATCCGTTTCTGTACATTCTGTAATCTGATTTCAGTCTCTCTTTCTCTATCTCTGTCTCTCTCGATCTCTCTATCTCTTATTACACACACGAGTATGGCCGTTCACATTTTTAAGCAGCTAAAACTAAGCCCTCCTATTCAATGGACACACAGTGGATGTTCCCCTATTGTTAAACGACCTTTTATATCAAAGTGGAGAAATATATGTCGGTTGAGATAGTTACCTATTGTTAACAAGAATGCTAGGAAAAATCTTGAGAGAGGAAAATCCCCAATTTGACAAAGGGAAATAAAGTGGTTTTTTGGATCCGATTTAAGGTTTGTGGCAAGGCGTTAAGGTTCGTTTTATTTGGGCGAATGTCCGTCATAGAGGTTTTCCATACGAGCGAATACCAATGTTGATGCGACCTTTTACAATTTAAACTGATTAAGAGGTTTTATAATTTATAAATAAGATATTATCTATCCGTGAGTACTTCCTATCCGTTTCATTTTGTGTTCTTGTTTTCAAGCGTAAACAGGGGGGAATGTTAGATAGCATCTGATAAATATGCAAACTCTCTCTCTCTCTCTCTCTCTCACTCTCTCTCTCTCTCAAAATAGTCGTTCTATGCCAAGAGCGAACAGACTTCGATCCAGAATGTATCTTGCAACGCAAAAATGTTATCCACTAAAGACTTAATAAATTAAGTAGCAGCGAAAATGACCATTATGTAACCGAATAACCGCTTTTGATATCAGCTACAGCAAATATATTAATGCCTTGTGCCAGACAAAGTAAAGAAAAATAATTAAAGAAAGCATAGGTTCGTGTCAGAGCAATGAAGTTAAGCAATATAAAACCTGATCAGTACTTAAATGAGTAACCGCTTTGGATATTACGTACTGTACATATATTAATACCTTGTGCCATACTAATTAAAACAAAGTAATTAAAGAAAGTACAAGGTTCGTCTCAGATCAACCAAGTTAAGCATTATCAAATCTGATCAATACTTAAATGAGTAACTGTTTTGGATATGAGATACTGTAAATATATTATAGTTTCTAACCAGGCTGAGTACAGAAAAATTATTTAAAAAAGAATATGTTTGAGTTTGACCAACGAAATAAAGTAATACCAAAACAAATGTTTAAATAAGTGACCTGTTTTGATATGAGGTACTGCAAATATATTATATCCTGATGCCAAACGAAATAAAATAGAGTAATTAAAGAAAGCATAAGTTAATGCCTGAGTAGCTGTAACGTTTGGACTATGATACCCGGGTTCGCATCTGACGATGGTCGATTTGTCAGTGAAGTAAGGATTTCAGTGTGCGGGACTGTTGGGAAGTGCCTGGAAACCATACCACGATTTGACCGAAGTTACAAACGAGCGTTCTGGCTTTGTTGAACCATAGTCAGGAAGGTGACTTGTTGGTGTTATTAGCATGTAGAGGCGGTCTTAAAAAATTTTCAAAAATAAGATATATTTTTCTGAAACTTTATTTGAGGAATATTAGCAGATTTACACTTTAATTTCTTTTGTATTACTTATGTTTAAAAAATCACAGAAATGGATTTTTTAACATGGGGATAGCTGTTTATTTAATCTGTTGACAGATTTACAGCTTGACTGACACAGGAAGTTCATCTAATTTTTTCTACGGTGGATATATCTGTAAAAATCTCTTCAAGAATATAATGTGAGCGCCATTTTTTTAATATTATTTTAACTACCCAGTAATGTTAAAAAAAATAGGAAAATCTTCTCTGTAGTCTAATGTTTTGTTGAATTTTAGAAATATTGGCTTTAAATTTATTATAGATATCGCTCTTGTTTTCTGATAAATAGAGGTCGCTAAATTGGAATAAGCTTTTCCAGTTATGATTAGAAAATATCATTTTTACTTGATAGCAATATCACCTAACCGGGATAAATTAAGACAGAATTTTAAAAGATTTCAAACTTTAAGAATTACTATAATTAAAAATTTAAAGAAATGAAAACAATTCTCGTAAAGTTTCATCAATAATCAAAAATATTTTTTCTCAAGACAATAGTGTCTATGATATATTTTATTCAAAAAAGCAATTACAGGCTTTTCTATTCAAATAATATCTTAGTTTTATTGCATTTCTTATTGGACGATTCAGAGCAGACTTTCAGTAACTAGGGGTCCTGTTTTACAAAATGAAATCGATGATTTAAATTCTCCAAGGAGTTCTGATTTTAATTTAATAACGATTAAGTTCTTTAAAATGAAATAATGTGGGGAGTGGGTAACAAATGTAAAAACACTATTTTTACCAAGATATTATTAAAAATCATTTCTAAAATAATTTAATTAATTTGTTTATAAGTACTGAAAGTTTCATTAAAATCCGACAATTATTTTATTTTGCAAGAAATTGCAAATCAATGTGTTTTTCACGGCAAAAAAAAATGACGCTAAAATTATTAAAAGTAATCTTTGGTTTCCTCGCTGACGCAAGAAAAATAAGATTTTTTTTAATTCAAAATTTCGAACGTGTGTTATAGCATACCTACGGACGATAATGTCCCCTTCACATAAATACAGTAGTAAATGATGTATGTTGGTCTGCAGTTGGAGATTCATCTCCAGCTGTGCTGGTCAAACACTCTGCCTCTGGGCAGAGAGGAACCCAGACGAGACTATGTCGAAGAGCAGAGTCGCGTCTGGGGTGGTAGACAGCTACCCGACCCCGTTTTTACGGGGAATTTTTGCCCGAGCCTACGGGCTCGGATACCCCACGTTAATTTCGGCCTTGTGCCACATCTGACCGCGTGAGGCGGTTGACAAATATCCTGCAGTTGGGGATTCATTGTGAAATGCGCTTGACTCACTGCTGCGCGGCGCCGGTGAATCTTATATGTGTTGTTCTTGTCCTAAGTATTATCGTTCATTACCAACCTTCGTTTGGTTATTCTATTCAGTAACCTTCCCTAGATTACAACAATGTGCTAAAATGGATCAAAATATATAATTTAATAATGAAAAAAATCCTTTGGTATTTCCTTTTAGTATTTTGTTTTTTAAGTTTGGGGTATTTATCATCATGGTATTCTAATTTTTTAGCTAATCAGCTAATCACACATACACACATATATATAGTGATTTTCCAAGCGTAGCTTAGATTTGTCACAAGGCCGAAAGTTGGGGGCGCCTAGTGAGGATCGAACTTACAACTCAGTAGTAATTGTTCTAGCGAGACGAGCTTGTTAACCATTATACCGCCCCACATATATATATATGAAGGTGCCCGCCCCACATATATATGTATGAATGTTTGTGTGTGTTTCTGTACCAGTGCTAGCCTTAAGGGAAAAGATACAATCAATTTAGTCTCTTGTTGCTGTAATTATATTTCATTTGTAACAAATAAAGGGATGATTTTAATATTTCAAATCAAACGTATCCACATTATCATTTAATCTTTAATCCTTATACGAATCCGACCCTTTATATTTCTTATTTGGGGCTTGTGCGTGTGTATGTGTGTGTGTGTGTGTGTGTTCCTTCCTAATCCTATTCATGGATTTTAATTGGACTCGGCATCGGCCGAATATTGACCGGGAAGAGGTCGGCCTCTCCAGAAATCATTGGCCTCAAGTCATTTCCTCATTCAATGATACAGCTACGAAATGATAACAATTTGCTGCCTTACGGGATTAGGACTGGCTAAGTATTGCGAACGGAGAATATTTCAGAACTTCAATTTTGTTTTAACCATTGCCACTTCTGGTTTCATTGACGTGATCTGCTGCCCTTGTGGCCCCTAAATCAGTGATCCTTTTTTTTTCAGATTTAGCTCATACACTCACAATAACACACAAAATATATATATATATATATATATATATATATATATATATATATATATATATATATAGATATATATATATACATATATATACATACATATATAAATTTTTACATACGTATATATACATATATATATATATATACATACATATATACATACATATATATATATACGTTATATACATACATATATATATATATATATACATATATATATATATACGTTATATTACATTATATATATATATATATACATATATATATTTATATATATATACATATATATATATATATATATACATATACATATATA